AAATTATTATTATTAATTTTTCCAATTAAAATCTAGCCAATTTTAAATAAAATTTAATATTTCACTAATATAGCCAATTTGACCTTGTTATTCTATCTCTCACCTCCCAATCATTAAACAATAATGATAATAAAAAAAGGTTAGTTTATTTTAAAATATAGACCTTTATTTCTTAATAATTCAAATAATTTAAGCTTTTTTTTTTTTTTTTTTTAATGATTTCCTGTTGAAGTTTTTTAGTTCCATTATTCCAAACAAGCCTCACGTTAACCACCGTTATTAGAAGCAAAACAAAGTCAAATTTCCATTCTGCTTGATTATTCGCCGGATTTAAAGTCAACCTTGGATTGAAGTCAACTATAATGAATTAAATATAACAAGAAGAAGCGATTAATTACTCTCAACTCTCTGCTCAATCCTCCTGGATCTCAGAAACATGTAGATGCAGATTATCAAAATCCAGCAAGAAAGTACCGACAGAACCATTATGATCACAATATGAATTCTGGTGTTCACATTCTTTGTCCCTGCATTCAAACCAAACTTAAATCCAGAATTCACATTGCTCTGAGAAGATGAACTAAAAGAAACATACATACCTACTGCTCGAGTTTCGTTATCGGTCGATGAGGCTGTGGATATTGCCATCAGTGGCGGAGTTGGCGGCAGCGTTGGCCTACTATTGTCAAAGAAGCGGGTTGGTTTATAATTCACCATGCAGCTGGGGGTGAAAGTCCCAGCGGATCGGCTGCAATAATCTGGGAATTTCTTGAAAATTGAAGACAAGCAATCGTCACATTGTTGTGTAGTTAAATCAGGTAGGCATTGGACAAGAGCGTATGTTGTGTCCAGCCCTGAACTTGACATATTTCCAGCTGCATATTTGTGTAGAGAATCACCCAAAGAAGCCTTGCTTTTCAGACTATTCAACAAGATTCTTAGGCTTGGAATAAACCGAGCTGTGTTCGTTGCGTTTTCTGTCGATTGAGTCCTGAAAATTGGCCTAATATCCATTTGGTTTGACAAGGGTCGACTTGAGTAGTGCAGGAAGCAATTTTCATACCATCCAATTGCTTCTTTCTGGTTAGGACAAAGCTTCGTTAGAAGATGAACAGAGTCGTTGAGGCAGCTTCGACACGTATCAAGCTTGATGTCGGGCATACAAACACCGACGGCATTGGCTATGTCTGAGCCTTGTCCATGAGAGAATCTGTAGAAGCCGTAGCTGAGTTTTTTGTCGGTGGTAATGGAGGAGAGAACATGGTGAAGATTGGTCTTGAAGGTACTGTTGGCTGTGAAGTTACGAGCGCTGTCAATGCAAAAGTGAGAGATGAAGTGTGGCTGAGCAGAAGCTTTGGCCATCAATAGCAGAGGAGCCAGGAGAAGGTAGAATGCCATTGCTGCTTGGCTTTGTGCTTCTTCTTAGTCCTTCTCTATTATATATATCAGACACCGTTTGAGTTTTGTATATTGACTATGTGTTAGTATAATTAATGGAAACTCATAATTGTCACGGACCATGTTCAATTATTCCTGACAGCAAACTATTTCTAATCTAATTTCTATTAAAAAATAAAAAAATAAAATCAAAATTTAATATTATAATATTATGTTTGATACTTTAATACTAATAATAATAATAATATATTATCCTTCAAACAGTAAATGACATTAGTAGTCAAATTAGGAAAATAATACTATACTCAAAGTTACTCGGGAGGCTTTATAGGAAGGGAGTTTAAAAGTGAACTAGCCTTTATTATTGTCACAGATCAAGATATGCAATGGATGATATTCAACAATATGTCATTAAACACCCCTTTTTGATAGTCCATTCAACAATAAACTTCATATATAACAATCATTCTATTATTTAATCTATATATATATATATATATATAGGCTCTCAAAATGCAAAATATCTTACCACAACATGTGATGAAAACCTAACGAGGAAGAAGCTCCGAAATTGAAGCATCATTATTCGAATTTTGAAGAGATCTAGCTTCAGAATGAGTACCCCCATCTGGCTTTAACATTGTGTTGGATTCCCCGGTAATACTATGCATGAAGAATGCAGGTCTAGAGGGTATTGGAAGAGTGAGTGAGGAACTACTTAGCATCGTCACCACTGAAGCCATTGTTGGTCGATTTGCTACGTTTTCTTGAACACACAATAACCCAATATGAATGCATCTTATCATTTCGATCCTTGAACCTACACTAAGTGTTGAATCTATTATATTTGTCGTTGTTCCTGTCCTCCAATTTTTCCATGCCTACAACAAAATCCATCATGGGGGTTATTTATTCAACTATTTTTATTTGCTATAACAAGTAAATCATATACTTACAAAGCTGGAAAGGTCTTCGATGTTTTCTCCATTGCGAAAACAATTTCCTTTTTGACCACTTAAAATTTCAAGAACCAAAATACCGAAGCTAAAGACATCTGATTTTACTGAAAATTGTCCGTGGATTACGTACTCTGGAGCCATATAACCGCTGGGAAAGTACCAACAATAGATTATTCAAAAGATTTGTTAAGGAAAATAATTGAACAAAATTTATACTTACTAAGTTCCCACAACTCTACTTGTGTTGCCTTGAGTCTCATCTACATCGAACAATCTTGCCATACCAAAATCTGCAATCTTTGGATTCATTTCTATATCCAACAAAATATTGCTAGCTTTGAGATCACGATGTATGATTCGAAGACGAGAATCTTCGTGAAGATAAAGAAGTCCTCGTGCAATGCCATTTATGATTTTGTATCGTCTCTCCCAATTTAACAGTGCCCGCTTTCCCAAATCTGCATGGAGGTTTAAATTTTTGTGAACTATATGAATGATGCATTTTCCAATTTGTGCAGACCAAAGAAAGAACAGAGGTTATACCAAATATGAAGTGGTCAAGGCTGCCATTTGGTACAAACTCATATATGAGAAGTCTTTCGATTCCTTGCAAGCAGAAACCCAGCAGCCTAACCAAGTTCCGGTGCTGAAGCTTCACAACCAAAAGGACTTCATTTTTGAATTCAACGTCGCCTTGTTGTGAATTGTTCGCAAGCCGCTTCACCGCAATATGCTGTCCATTAGGAAGCTTACCCTGAAAATATAAACATCAAATTTATAGTAAGAATATAACACACCACCTCATAACAGCTCCAAATTCATTGATTCATGTTCTTAATTCCTTTCATACCCTGTAGACAGCTCCGAATCCACCCTGTCCCAGCTTGTTTTCGTCTGAGAAGTCATCAGTTGCCTCTTTAATTGTGTCAAAATCAAATTGAATCGTCTCCACACTGCTAATTTCATCAGTGGCGTCTCCATGAGCAACAGCTAAGAGAAGATTCAGACATGAACATCAAAGTCATTTGTAGGATCAGAGCTGTAAGCTTATTTGAAAAACTACACTATCAAAGTAAAACTATCATCTAAAAAACGAAACAGAGGAAGCGTAAAGCACTCACTTTCAAGTCTTTGTAATGATCTTTTGTGCTTTCGCTTCCTCAATCTCGCAACGATGCAAATACCAACAATGAGAATGATGGCTGAAGCGATGGACACCGCTACAATGATAACAGTTCTAGTAGTATACCCATTACTTTCTGAAAAAGAAAGGGACAAAATTAGTATGTTAATATGAGGCTATGTGCTTAATGGTTCAAGTTCAAACAGGGCATGTCAAGTACGATGAGTAATGGAAACAGAGTGTTGAAACAACAACAAATAAGACAGCTCTAATTGCATTACCTGGTGTCGAAGTCGAAGATGGAGGGAGGATATTAGGAGATGAGGGCGGAGGCAGAGGAGGAGAGAGAAGTGCAGCATAGAGAGGGTGGATTTCATAGTTTATTTGACAACTTGTCACAACTAATCTCGCCCCTATGCTGCCGTTGCAACAACTGGGAAGATTACTTTGAAGCCGACTTAGGCAGACATCACAATCGAAGTACGACATGTCGGGAAAACAATCAACGAGGCCATATATGGTATACGTATTCGGATTTGCAAGTTTGACATCTCCGCCGGCAGACTTGCGAATTGAACTCCCTAAGGCAGCCTCCTCCCGGAGTCGATCTAACAACTCTCTCCGTTCCTCGTTGAAAGTGTTGGCATCTGGGGCCTTACCGGTGTTGAAAGCGATTTGCACGGCGGAATTGATGGTTATCTCACCGTGAACAGAGTTGTTTGAGTAAAGGATTTGGCAATGATGGTACCATCCCGCACCTTCCTTCTGGTTTGGACAGTTTTGTAGAATCCTGCGGGCTGAGTCATTCACGCATGTTCTGCAGTCGTCCAAGGGAACACCTTTACGACAAAGAGCCTTGGCGTTGGCCGTGTCGGGATCTTCACCGAAGGTGGCATTATAGAAACCGTAGTCGACCCGGGTGTCGGTGTTGGAGTTGGAGGTGATTGAGGCGAGTGCGTTTTCGAGATTTTTCTTGAAAGGGCTGTTGTTGGTGTAGTTGGCGTTTTCTGAACATTTGTACAGAAAAAAGTCGCGCTGTGAAGTTGTGGTAAGCATCAATCGTGCAATAACGAAGGAGAGGTAGAATATCCTCCTCAAACTCGAACTGCCCATCTCCATTATCCCTCTGCAACAACATCAGCTACCCTCGGTTCTTTTAAAAGACAAGATAGGACAGCCAACCATCCATCGTCGACTTCCCAAGTCCACGGCCTGGGTCATCAGGTCCGTAATATATACGCATAGTTCCATTTGAAAATTCGAAGTTATGACTCACTTCGACTTAAGAACCCCATTCATTTCTGACTAGTCTTCAACTACCGTTTGGACAATTTATGCGAGCCATCGATGTGTTCTTTTTAAGTTTGACCATTTCTCTTTCTATCAATCAAATCTATTAATGATAAATGTACATTAGTGATACACATCTATCATTAGTAGACATAAAAATATTAATGGGTCTCGGTTCAAATGTAATAAAAACTCACCATAAACATCAAAATTTCGTTACCTCTAAGCGGAGTTGCTCATAATAATGTCTTTTATGATGATAAAAGAGAAAATAAAATTTATAGAAAATTTCTTAGGAGACTTTATAAGACGGAAGTTTAGAAGTAAATCCATATATCAAGATATACAAAATTAAATTTAAGATGATATTCAACCATATTTGAGTGATGAAATTCTAACGAGGATGAAACTCCGAAATTGAAATGTCATTATCTGAAGTTTGAAGAGACTTGGCTTCCGAATGAGTACCCCTATGTGGCTTTAAGATTGTGTTGGATTCATGGGTGATACTATGCATGAAGAATGCAGGTCTAGAGGGTATAGGAAGAGTGAGAGAAGAACTACTTAGCATCATGAGCACTGTAGCCATTGTTGGTCGATCTGCTACGTTTTCTTGAACACACAATAATCCAATGTGAATGCATCTTATCATTTCGATCCTTGAACCAACATCAAATGTTGAATCTATGATATTTGTTGTTGTTCCTGCCCTCCAATTATTCCATGCCTGCAACAAAATCCACCGTGGTGTTGGTTATTTAACTATTAGTATCTGCTTCAACTATAAGTGAATGATATACTTACAAAGGTGGAGAGGTCTTCGACGTTTTCTCCGGTGCGAAAACAAGTACCATTTTTACCACTCAAAATTTCAAGAACCAAAATACCAAAACTAAAGACATCTGATTTTACTGAAAATTGTCCGTAGACTACATACTCTGGAGCCATATAACCGCTGCAAAAGTACGAACAATAGATTACTCAAAAGATTTATCGAAGAAAATAATTAAATAAAGTTTGTACTTACTAAGTTCCCACGACTCTACTTGTATTGCCTTGAGTCTCATCTACTTCAAACAATCTTGCCATACCAAAATCTGCAATTTTTGGATTCATTTCTATATCCAACAAAATATTGCTAGCTTTGAGATCACGATGTACGATTCGAAGACGAGAGTCTTCGTGAAGATAAATAAGTCCTCGTGCAATGCCGTTTATGATTTTGTACCGTCTTTCCCAACTTAACTGGGTCCGCTTTCCAAAATCTACATGGATAGTTTAGATTTTTGTGAACTATATGAATGATGCCCTTTCCAATTTGTGCAGACCAAAGAAAGAACAGAAGTAATACCAAATATGAAGTGGTCAAGGCTGCCATTTGGTACAAACTCATATATGAGAAGTCTTTCAATTCCTTGCAAGCAGAAACCCAGCAGCCTAACCAAGTTCCGGTGCTGAAGCTTGACCACCAAAAGGACTTCGTTTTTGAATTCAACGTCGCCTTGTTGTGAATTGTTCGCAAGCCTCTTCACTGCAATATGCTGTCCATTAGGAAGCTTACCCTGAAAATATAAACATCAAATTTATAGTAAGAATATAACACACCACCTCATAACAGCTCCAAATTCATTGATTCATATTCTTTAATTCCTTTCATACCCTGTAAACAGCTCCGAATCCACCCTGTCCCAGCTTGTTTTCGTCTGAGAAGTCATCAGTTGCCTCTTTAATTGTGTCAAAATTAAACTGAATCGTCTCCACGCTGCTAATTTCATCAGTGGCGTCTCCATGAGCAACAGCTAAGAGAAGATTCAGACATAGAACATCAAAGTCATTTGTAGGATTAAAGCTGTAAGCTTCTTTGAAAAACTACACGATCAATGTAATACCGTCATCTAAAAAACAAAACAGAGGAAGCGTATGTATGTTGGATGATGAAAGTCCCACAGCGACTAATTTAGGAATGATCGTAGGTTTATAATAAAAGAATACTCTCTCCATTGGTGTGAGATATTTTGGGGAAGCCCAAAGCAAAGTTAAGAAAGCTTATGCTCAAAGTGGACAACGTCTAACCGCGTAAACCACTCACTTTCAAGATTTTGTAATGGTCTTCTGTGCTTTCGCTTCCTCAATCTCGCAACGATGCAAATGCCAACAATGATAATGAGGGCTGAAACGATGGACACCACAACAATTATAACAGTTCTAGTAGTATTGCCATTATTTTCTGCAAAAGAAAGGGATAAAATTAGTATGAAAATATGAGGTTATGTTGGTAAGGGTGAAGGGAAAAAGAGAGAAAAGAGCATCGAAAAGAGCATGTCCTTACCTAGTGTCGAAGGCGAAGATGGAGGGAAGAGATTAGGAGCTGAGGGCGGCGGCAGAGGAGGAGGAGGAGAGAGAAGTGCCGCATAGAGAGGGTGGATTTCGTAGTTTATTTGACAACTTGTCACAGTTAATCTCGCTCCTATGCTGCCGTTACAACAACTAGGAAGATTACTTTGAAGACGACTGAGACAGACATCACAATTGAAGTACGACATGTCGGGGAAACAATCGACAAGGCCATATATGGTATACGTATTCGGACTTCCAAGTTTGACATCTCCGCCTGCAGACTTGCGAATTGAAGTCCCTGACGCAGCCTCCTCTCGGAGTCGATCTAACAACTCTCTCCGTTTCTCATTGAAACTGATAGCATCCGGGGCCTGAGCGGTGTTGTAAGCAATTCGCGACGCGGAATTGATGCTTATCTCACCGTGAACAGAGTTGTTTGAGTAAAGTATTTGGCAATTACTGTACCATCCCACACCTTCCTTCTGGTTTGGACAGTCTTGTACAATCCTGATGGCTGATTCATTCACGCATGATCTGCAGTCCTCCAAGGGAACGCCTTTACGACAAAGAACCTTAGCGTTGGCTGTGTCGGGATCTTCACCGGAGGTGGCATTATAGAAACCGTAGTCGACCCGGGTGTCGGTGTTAGAGTTGGAGGTGATTAAGGCGAGTACGTTGTCGAGATTTTTCTTGAAAGGGCTGTTGTTGGTGTAGTTGGCGTTCTCTGAACATTTGTATGATAAAAATTCCTGCTGAGAAATTGTGGTAGACATCAATTGTGCAATAACGAAGGCGAGGTAGAAAATCCTTCCTAAACTGAAACTGCCCATCTCCATCATCCCTCTGCAACAACATCAGCTTCTCTCGGTTTGTTTGATATGAATTGGATAGGACAGCCAACCCACCCTCGTCGACTTCCCAAGTCCACGGTCTCGGTCATCAGGTCCGTAATATTAACGCGTAGTTCCATTTTAAAAATTCTGAGTTATGATTAACTTCAACTTTAAAGAACCATTTTTCCTGACTCACACCTCAACTACCCGTTGAAAAATTTATACAAACATAAAAAATGTGATCTTTTTCACGACCATTCTATATTTTTTTTATTAATAAATCTCAACTTTTTATTTAATACTTTTCTTTTTAAAAAAACAATGTTTAAGACTTGCGTCCTTAGCAAGAAGATCTCAATCTTTTCTTTTTAATTAAATAATTTCGAGCATATCCTTAAATTGATTGAATTTTAAATTTTTTTTCTTTAAATTTCTTGCACTGGTTGAAAATAAACTATTGTGCGCAGTAAGTATTTTAGTGAAAATTGATTAAAGGGTAAAAATAAAATGCAACAATGATCTAAATTATATAGATTTTTTTTTTTTTTTTTGAAATAGAATATATAAAAAGAAAAAACACGTCAGCGTCGTCAAGTCAAAGAAAACGAACTGATGTTCTCGAGACCTATTCAATCGGCTTTAGGGGGGCGCCGTTCAATCCAATTTTCTGGGCTCTGTTGCTCTTCTGCTCGGTCATACGCACAGTTACTGCTCGTCCCGTCGGAGGAAGTTAATTAGCAGTTACTTCAACAGAATCAGAATCAGCGCCAACCTAACTACGACAGATACTTCTCTTATTCTGTTGGCCATGGAAGTGCTTCTTAGACGGTTAGCTTCTGCCGATGCTGCTCGGTGCTTGTCTACTTCACTTGCTGGTTCCATTTCCGATAAGTGTATTCGTGCCGCTCCTAATTGCCGAGCTCGATTCCCTTTTCGCATCGGTAGCCTTCGTTGTTTTTCCGACTCTTCGAATGAGTCAAATGCTTGCTCTGACTCTTCTGGTAAGCCTTAGCTTTTGTCCAGCTCTTGCATTTCAGTTATGCTGATTTTTAAGTCCTTTGGCAAATGCTAAATCTTCTCAAAATTCTTCTTGTTTTTTTTTTTTTTTTTTTTTTTTTTTTTTTT